GGGATTTGGGGAGGGGATTTGGGGAGGGGGATTTGGGGAGGGGGATTTGGGATGGGGAATTTGGGGAGGGGGATTTGGGGGTGTGGGGAGGGGTCTGGGGGTGTCTGTTTAATTCGGGGAGGGGTCTTTGTTTATTTTGGGGGCTCCTGGGGGTGTTCATTTAATTCGGGGAGGGGTCCTGGGGCACTTTTGGCCGATTTCAGGAGATTTTGGGGCAGTTCTTGACGATTTTGGGAATTTTGGAGACGCCCACAACGATTTTGGGGCAGTTCTGGGCTTTTTTTGGTTATTTTGGGCATTTTTGGCCGATTTCAGGAGATTTTGGGGTGATTTTGGAATTTTTGAGACACCCACGACAATTTTGGGGCCATTTTTGGGGATTTGGGGCCCATTTTGGGTTGATTTTGGGTTTTTTTGGCTTTTCCAGGTGCACACGGTGCTGGGCAAGATGTTCCTGGCTGGGTTTTTGGGTTATTTTGGGCACTTTTGGCCACTTTCAGGAGATTTTGGGGCGATTTGGGGTTTTTCGAGGTGCTCACGCTGATTTTGAGCTGATTTTGGGTTGATTTTGGGTTTTTTTGGCTTCTCCAGGTGCACACGGTGGTGGATGAGATGTTCCTGGTGGGGTTTTGGGGAGATTTCAGGGAATTTTGGCCACTCCAGGGGGATTTTGGGGCAGTTTTTGATGATTTTGGGGTTTTTCAAGGTGCTCACGCTGATTTTGAGCTGATTTTGAGCTGATTTTGGGTTGATTTTGGGGTTTTTTGGCTTCTCCAGGTGTACACGGTGGTGGACGAGATGTTCCTGGCGGGGGAGATCCGCGAGACGAGCCAGACCAAGGTGCTGAAGCAGCTGCTGATGCTGCAGTCCCTGGAGTGACCCAAAAACCCCCAAAATCGCCCCAAAAATATCCCCCAAATCCCCCCCAAAACCAGGGCCCCCTCCCCCGCCCGTCGGTGTTATCGTGGTGTGCAGAAAAAGTGAATTTCTGTCCATTAAAGTGACCAAAATGTGACCAAAAACGGGGGGAAATCGGTTAAAAGTGGTAAAAAATGAGTTAAAAACGGGATAAAGTGAATTTAAAGGGGACAGAAATGGGGTAAAATTGGTTAAAAGTGGTAAAAAATGAGTTAAAAACGGGATAAAGTGAATTTAAAGGGGACAGAAATGGGGTAAAATTGGTTAAAAGTGGTAAAAAATGAGTTAAAAACGGGATAAAGTGAATTTAAAGGGGACAGAAATGGGGTAAAATTGGTTAAAAGTGGTAAAAAATGAGTTAAAAACGGGATAAAGTGAATTTAAAGGGGACAGAAATGGGGTAAAATTGGTTAAAAGTGGTAAAAAATGAGTTAAAAACGGGATAAAGTGAATTTAAAGGGGACAGAAATGGGGTAAAATTGGTTAAAAGTGGTAAAAAATGAGTTTAAAATGGCCAGAAATGGGGCAAAGGGAATCAAAAAGTGGCTAAAAATGGGGTAAAATTGGTTCAAAATGGTAAAAAATGAGTTAGAAACTGGATAAAGTGAATTAAAAGGGGACAAAAATGGGGTCAAATGATCAAAAATGGGGAAAAGCGAACTCAAAATGAGCAAAAATTGGGATAATTCCGGGATTTTCCTGGAATTCTGGATCTCAGGGATGATTTCCCATCCTCCAGCCACCCAAAATTGGAGATAAAAACCCAAAAAAATCAACAAAAAAACCAAAAAAACCCCAGAAAAAACCATTTATTGATTCCGGGGTGGGATTTTTCTGGGAAAACTCCGGAATTCTGGGATTTTCCTGGAATTCTGGATCTCAGGGGGATCTCCCCAACCTCCAACCACCCAAAACTGGAGATAAAAACCCAAAAAAACCCCAAAAAAACCCCAGAAAAAGCCATTTATTGATTCCGGGGTGGGATTTTTTTTTGGGAAAACCGCGGAATTCCGGGATTTTCCCGTTTTTTCCCGGGATCTGGGGGCTGTCAGCGCAGCAGGTGGAAGGTGAGGCCGTACATGAGCAGGGGCTGGGCGGCGGCGATGGCCACGGTCAGGTACAGGCGCAGCTGGCTCCGAGCCTCGGCCGCCGGCTCCGCCAGCAGCTTCAGCCTCAGCGTCCGGATCTGCGGGAATTCCGGGAAAATCCAGGAATCAGAACCTCGGGATCAAACCCTCGGCTCCTGAAATCCCCAAAAAAACCCCAAAATTCCCATCAAAATCCCATTAAAACAACCCAAAATCCGCCCCAAAGTCCCCTCAGGCGCAGATTCTGAGAGCAGCCTCAGCCTCAGCGTCCGGATCTGCCGGAATTCCGGGAAAATCCGGGAATCAGAACCTCAGGATTGGCCTTTCCCAGCTCCTCAGGTCCTGAAATCCCTCTAAAATCCCCAAATTCCCACTAAAATCCCATTAAAAATCCCGTTTAAAGACCCCAAATCCGCCCCAAAATCCCCTCGGTTGAGGCTCCCGAGAGAAGTTTCAGCCTCAGCGTCCGGATCTGCGGGAATTCCGGGAAAATCCGGGATTCAGAACCTCGGGATTGGCCTTTCCCAGCTCCTCAGGTCCTGAAATCCCCCTAAAATCCCAAAATCCCCCCCAAAAAAATCCCCCAAAAAAATCCCCAAAAAAATAAAAAATAAATAAAAAAAAATTTACAAAAATCCCAAAATTATAAAAAAAAAATTCCCAAAAAATCTAAAAATCCCAGAAGACCCCAAACCTTCCCTGACCCTCGCTCCAGAAGGAATTCCTGGGAATTTCCCCACCCCCAAAATTCCCCAAAAAAATTTTAAAAATCCTAAAAAAATCATTTAAAAAAATCCCCCCAAAAAATAAAAAAACCCCCAAAAAATTTAAAAAAAAATCCCAAAAAACCCCCAAAACCCCAAACCCTCCCTGGCCCTCGCTCCAGAAGGAATCCCCGGGAATTTCCCCACCCCGGGATTCCCGGAATTCCCCGGAATTCCCGGGATTTGCTCACCATGAAGACGAAGATGCTGAGGCAGCTCCAGCCCAGGGCGGCGTGGTACCCGGCAGAGCCCAGGAGCAGCCCCGACAGCAGCCCCGCGATCATCCTGCCCGGAATTCCCGGAATTCCCAAAATCCCCCATGGAATCCACCAAATCCGGGGTGAAAACACAAAAATCCGGGGGTTAAAACCCCGAAATCTGGGGTAAAAACTCCAAAATTTGGGGGAAAATCCTCAATAATGGGGAGTTCTGGCGCTGCCCAGGAGCAGCCCCGCGATCATCCTGCCCGGAATTCCCAAAATTCCCAAAATCCCCCATGGAATCCACCAAATCCGGGGTGAAAACACAAAAATTCGGGATTAAAGCCCCAAAATTTGGGGTAAAATCCTCAAAATTTGGGGTAAAAACTCCAAAATTTGGGGTAAAATCCAAAAATTTGGATAAAATCCCCAAAACTTGGAATGAAATCCCCAAAAATCGGGATAAAACCCTCAAGAATTGGGATAAAACCCCAAAAATTGGGATAAAATCCCGAAAAATCCCAAATAAAAACCCCAAAACTCCAAATAAAACCCCAAAATCAAAATAAAACCTCCAAAAAATCCAAATAAAGCCCCAAAAACCCAAATAAAATCCCCAAAATTAAAAAATATCCCAAAAAACCCCAAATAAAACCCCCAAAAATCCAAATAAAACCCCAAAAAACCTAAATAAAATCCCCAAAAATAAAAAAAATCCCAAAAAACCCCAATAAAATCCCCAAAAATCCAAATAAAACCCCAAAAATGCAAATAAAATCCCCAAAAATAAAAAAAAAATCCCAAAAAATCCCAAATAAAATCCCCAAAAATCCAAATAAAACCCCAAAAACCCAAATAAAATCCCCAAAAATAAAAAAAATCCCAAAAATCCAAATAAAACCCCCAAAAAATCCAAATAAAACCCCAAAAACCCAAATAAAATCCCCAAAAATCCAAATAAACCCCCAAAAAACCTAAATAAAATCCCCAAAAATAAAATAAAAATCCAAAAAAATCCCAAACAAAACCCCCAAAAACCCAAATGAAATCCCCAAAAATAAAAAAAAAATCCCAAAAAACCCCAAATAAAATTCCCAAAAATCCAAATAAATCCCCAAAAATCCAAATAAAACCCCAAAAACCCAAATAAAATCCCCAAAAATAAAAAAAAATCCCAAAAAATCCCAAACAAAACCCCCAAAAACCCAAATAAAACCCAAAAAAAACCCCCAAATAAAACCACAAAAAAAAATTGCAAATAAAAACCTCCAAAAAATCCGAATAAAACCCCAAAAATCCAAAAAAAAAAAACCCCAAATAAAATCCAAAAAAAAATCGGAAGGAAAGCCCCAAAAGTCGGGATAAAAGCCCCGGCGCCGCGGCCCCGACGGAGATTCCCGAATTCCCCCGGAATTCCGGGCTCACCCCACGTATTTGTAGCCGGCGAGCGCCACGACGTTGGCCGGGCCCAGCTGGGACGCGCCGGGAGCCAAATGCAGCGCCAGGAGCTCGGTGAGAACCTCCAGCAGCAGCCAGGCCAGAGCCGAGCTCGCTGCCAGCCCCAGCCTGTCCGGGGAAAACCTGGAATTCCGGGAATTCCATGGGAATTCCATGGGAATTCGGGGTTTGGGATAACGGGAATTGAGAATTCGGGATTTGGGGTTTGGGAATGGCCCCGGGTTCGGCGCCAGGAGCTCGGTGAGAACCTCCAGCAGCAGCCAGGCCAGAGCCGAGCTCGCTGCCAGCCCCAGCCTGTCCGGGGAAAACCTGGAATTCCGGGAATTCCATGGGAATTCGGGGTTTGGGAATGGCCCCGGGTTCGGCGCCAGGAGCTCGGTGAGAACCTCCAGCAGCAGCCAGGCCAGAGCCGAGCTCGCTGCCAGCCCCAGCCTGTCCGGGGAAAACCTGGAATTCCGGGAATTCCATGGGAATTCGGGGTTTGGGAATGGCCCCGGGTTCGGCGCCAGGAGCTCGGTGAGAACCTCCAGCAGCAGCCAGGCCAGAGCCGAGCTCGCTGCCAGCCCCAGCCTGTCCGGGGAAAACCTGGGAATTCCGGGAATTCCGTGGGAATTTGGGATAACGGGAATTGGGAATTCGGGATTTGGGGTTTGGGAATGGCCCCGGGTTCGGCGCCAGGAGCTCGGTGAGAACCTCCAGCAGCAGCCAGGCCAGAGCCGAGCTGGCTGCCAGCCCCAGCCTGTCCGGGGAAAACCTGGAATTCCGGGAATTCCATGGGAATTTGGGATTTGGGAAAATGGGAATTCGGGATTTGGGGTTTGGGAATGGCCCCGGGTTCGGCGCCAGGAGCTCGGTGAGAACCTCCAGCAGCAGCCAGGCCAGAGCCGAGCTGGCTGCCAGCCCCAGCCTGTCCGGGGAAAACCTGGAATTCCGGGAATTCCGTGGGAATTCGGGGTTTGGGATAACGGGAATTGGGAATTTGGGGTTTGGGAATCCCGGAATCCCGGATTTGAGGTTTGGGAATTGGGATTTTGGGGTTTGGGAAGGACGGGGTTAATGGGAATTGAGCCAGGCCAGCCCCAGCCTGTCCGGGGAAAACCTGGGAATTCCCGGAATTTCGGGAATTCCGTGGGAATTCGGGGTTTGGGATAACGGGAATTCCAGAATTTGGGGTTTGGGATGTGGGATAACGGGAATGAGGGAATTTGGGAATTTGGGGTTCGGGAATTTGGGATTTGGGGTTCGGGAACTCCGCCCGGAACAGCGGGATTGGGAATTGGGATAACGGGACTGGGGACGGGGAAAGGGATGAGGAAGATGAGGATGAGGAAGAGGATGAGGATGAGGAGGAAGATGAGATGAAGGTGAGGATGAAGACAGGAAAGGGATGGGGATGAGGAAGATGAAGATGAGGATGAAGAGGACGAGGATGGGGTGAGGAAGATGA